TTTCTTTGTTTCTTGTTATATAGGATTATTAGTGATTTTTTTAATTACAATTAAAGCGCAAATTTCTAAATAATTGCTTCGTTAAACAAAAATAATATCGTAGTGTTTAAAAATTGTACTCGTAGATTTTGCGTTTTAAATAGATTTTTTATAATTTTTTAAATAACAGAAATGTATCAAAATTAGTATTTATAATTAAAGTTCTTGATAAATTTTATTCTTGCACGATCATTGGAAAATTTTGAATTTTGTCGTATCTAAAAACGCGTATCCTGGTAACACGAGTGTTAATTACGACGAAAGCAAAGGTCTCGTTTCATGCATCGCGAATTTCAGTCATGAAAACCCACGGAAAAGATGGAAACCTGCTTAACCTCGAGGGTTTGCCAGCCACTTCTATCAATAGTACGTTTCTTCTTAGGAAAAAAAATCGTAATTAAAGTCACGTGCTTTACACGTGGGTAAAATTGATTCGTGGTAGTTTAATGCACGCTTTTTTCTAAAAATGGAATTTCTTTTCTCGCTTCAGTTAATTCGTCGTAAAATTTAGTATTAAATTCGTCGTAGAATTAATAAATGGAAAATTTAAATAAAACATTAAATATAAAATATAAAATTTAAAATCAAATGGTAAATACATAAGTTTCATTTTTTATATAATTTTTTCATTTTAATCTGAATTCTATTAAATTTATTAATTTTATATAATTTCTCAGTTTCATTCGTATATTTGGATTGAAATTAAAGATTAAAACGAAAAAATATGTTAAAATTGAGATTGAAATAACGACTTTGACTTATACAATAGTTGAAACAGGAAAGGGAAATGTAAAACGATGGTGAAAATTTTTCACTGTGAAATTCTTTCAAGGATTCGGGTCAGAATTTAAAGCTCGAATCGATTTTTGAAATTTCTATATGAAATAAATAAATAATAATAGTACATATGATGTATAAATTATAATTTTTAATATCTCATATATCTAAACTAAATTACAGTCGTTAAAAAACAAACTTCAAACAAAAAATAGAATATTTATAATAAATATTTTATAATTATAAGTACAAAAGAGATATTATACATAAAAATACTACAAAATCAAATCGTGAAAAATGATTTCAGTACACGATTCTCAATTCATTAAATATATTTCCTAAATATAATTCGATAAATAATAATATCATTCATCAACAAAGTTCATCCTCGTTAAAAATTATAAACTCTTTTATATATCTTTAAAATAACATTTCCTACAATTCTTCAGCATTTTAAATAATCATCATTTGTCAACATATTCGTAGCTTATTTTATTCGAATACGAACTCATTGGCAAAAGAACGATCCTAATGAATCCCAAAGGGAGATGGTATGAGCCAACTTTGCTTCGAAATCATTTTTTTTTTTTCTTTTCCTCCAAGAAAAATAAAAAAAAATCTTGGGCTTGAAAGCCGTTGCTCTGTTCCTGTTATCACAGCAATGTTTCTCTTCGAAATCTCGTCCAAGTAGATCCCTCGGTTGCAAAGGACCGTTTCCTCTTTTGTCTCACGCTTATTGCGCTCGTAATTGCAATTGTTCCGCTTCTGTTTGTATCGAGGGAGGAGAACAAAGAAAGATATTCGCCTGAGAGATCGAGATAACGATCGTGTTACGAACGAAAGAGCGCGTTAAATACTTTCGAATTCTTGCTAAATTCAGTTGAATTCCTTCGTTGGTATATGTAATTTCCCCTATTGCTCGACTGATTTTCACACGATGCAGTTATTCGCAATTAAACCGATTATATCCGGTTTCTTTTGGACTATTTAAGGATTAGGAATTGGCTTTATTCAAAGTGGATTAAGATAATCGTAAAAATATGGAAGGAACGAATGGATGAGAATGGTATCTGTTTAAAAAGGGATAAAATCTTTTTGCATTTCTTTCTTTCTGTTTTTATATTAGAGATTTTATATCGTAAAATCTATAAATACATAATATCTTATTAATGCATTGTATTTGTTACAAAAATCTTCATACATTATTTCACAAGAAAATTCTTATCATTTAATCAGTAAAATTCTTTTTTTAATGAAAGTTTAGAGCATAGTAGTTTATACATATAGTTTGATGATTCTATCTCGTAACATATATTTAAAAGAAAAATATTAAAATATAAAGATCTCATTCTTTCAAAAGTGTTTCACATAAAAGATTTGTTATTGTGATAACACAACTTGCGTAAGATGTACAAAAACTTTTGTAATCGATTGTACATATCGAAATCTCGTTGTGCAAACGCGACATTCCTCAAGACCTTAAGTTCCATCAATCTTCGTGAACATCCTCGAGAATACCGTTTCATATATTTCTTTCTAACCTTCTTTTTTACTTCTATTCCGCCAAGAGACCGAACACTCGATAAGAACAAGTCGAACAAGTTGGCTGGCTTTATTCACGGATCAACGAATGTAGTGAATTTCACATAGTGTTCGCTGATGTGCAGATGCACGTGCATTGAATCGAAACGATTTCCTTGAGAGAGAAGTCTTATAGGTATTCGATACGCAGTTTCTGTTGAATGCGGGTAAACACGTGATCGTGCCAATCTCCTCGATATTGCATTAATAAATGGATGCATTTGCATCCTCTTATTACGCATTTGTCAATCCATACAAGTTTTTGAAATAACATGAAAACTTTTTAAAATATTTAATCCTTCAAATCATTTCTTTTTGTGAATATGTTTTGATATGGATATAATAATTTTTAAAATCTTTTAATTCTTAATAAAAATAAATAAAAAGTTAAATAATATATTTACAATAATGTTAAATCTTTGATTGAAAACAATCTTTATAGAAATTAAAACAATTATATTTTGTTCAAAAATTGAAGTTCAAAGTTTGTTTTCAATTTCGAGTTTTAATTTTTTAATATAATATAGAATATTAAAAAGACAGACAATTGAAATATAAATATATGCATATTTGAAAATCCATATTTATTTTTCCAGGTAATCTATAATTAATCAATTGTTTGAAATTTTTCGAAATTACTTTTAGTGAAATCGTAAGTAGAGCGTGAAAGCATCAATGAGAAATTTTTGGGAGGTTTTCTGAATTTTGCATGCATTCTGCGCCAACTGCCATATGGAGCAAATACGCAATGCGGGAATTCTATACATATTCCCAAATTAGGAGAAATTAATTTATCAAATATTCGGTTCAAACACGTTTAAAATTTGGAACTTTTCTTCGATTTGTATTAAATATATTATTTAATATAAAACTTTCTTATTTTCTTTCTATAATAAAAATATAAAGGAATTTATAAACAATTTTTATCTCTGGAAGAAAATTCATAAAACAACAAGAAAGTTTCCAATTAATATTGACAAGAAAAACAAATGGTGGATTAAGTTTTTACCTTTGAATATATATCTTTTTAAGCTTCGACAATTGTGGTTAAATATTTGTCCAATTACACTTCAATTTCCTCATTTTACGCTTCATTTCATCAATTTGGTCTATCATTTACAAGAACAAAAACTTCAATACGTCTCTATAATATCTTATAATATCGTCGTCGTTTATAATATAATCTTTTATATTTTTAATAAATTCGATATACTGTAGCATTATCGAAAGTTTTTCAATTTCTTATCAAGATAAGAATTCAGAAATTCTATTTTTGAATTAAAAAAAATAAAAAATTCTACGCAGATGGAATAATTAACAACTTATTAATTTTTTTCAAAATTTCACTGTTAACCAAACAGTATGCTCAGTTTCAAAAATATCCATAAATACCATAACTTTCCATCTAAATAAATAAAATGCACACGTACAGATCTAATTGGTACACGTGTGTTCAAGAATGTTCGAAATTGAAATTCTTCGAATAATATCTCTAATATTAAGGGAAACGCGTTAAGGGAGCAACAGTCTCAATAAAGAATCGGAAAAGAATAATATATTACGGAAAATTTCGATTAAACGTCAAGTTTATAGAGATAAGTGTAATTGAGTTTAATAGTATTGGTGAAACAAGTAGTCCTTAAGGAGCTCTTTACTATAGTAGCAATCTAATGCGACTCTATCCAAGATACCACGCAATCGACCAATAACAATCCATTAGCGTTCCGCTGCTCTATATTTGCCTAGCTATTATCTTCGTCTCATTTTGGCAAATATACTTGTCAATTCAGAGCAATGCTCGCACAAACTTCATAAGAACTTTTTGTTTGGGGAATTTTTGTTTGTTTTTCTTCTTTGTAATTACTCTATTATAAACTTTAGTTAACGTACGATTATGTGTATATGATGAATGAAAAACAGAAATAGATGAGAATTATTTTTTCGTTATGAAAAGTGATACATTTGTTATAGAAATTTTAAACACAATTTTATTTTTTTTTTTCATATTTATATTTTCTATTGTCATTTTTTTGCAACAATAAAGAACAGCAAGCATTTATAGAATCTTCTCAAACTCTATCGTAAAATATTTATGAAAAAAATATATTAAAGTTTTAAGATGATAATGTTATTAAAGATTGAAGAATGTTATTAAAGATGTTAGAAAAATTCATTGATATTTTTATAAATTCTACGTATAAATCAAAATGAAATTAATTAATTAATTGGAGAGTTGTTTGCAAAATTATTTACCTATGGTATACGTTGCACCATCCAATTGAAAAGTCGCACTCTTGCACTTCTTGAAGAGCTTTTGATGCGGGTATGGTGGCGGAAGTGGCGGAGGTGGTGGCCCCTTTGGCTCCTGTTTATTCATGATGTTCCTTGCACTTTACCTCAATGTCTTTGATCATTAATTATTCTCTAGTAACTGTCCCCGATCTATATCACTCGCGATCAGAGTCAAGCCACGATCATATTATCTCCGTTATTAAACGCATAACGAGTTCCATCAACGATACAATACTGGAAAGTAATAGTATCGAAAATTTCCAGAGAAGTGTTCAGATAAGATACTAATCAAACGTTAAATTTTTTTTCAGATCAGAGGAGAGGAGAGGGTCAAAACAAGGTTCAGCAAGTTGAATTCTAAGAAGCTGATATCTAGACCACCATCTATTGAACGTGGATGAAAACGGGGGCAACGATTGGAAAAAGTCTGGTAAGTCTGAAATATAATATTTTTGAAATTTAAAAGAAGAAGAAACGTTTCTCAGAAATTGCAGATTGCTTGGAAATTCTATCTCGTTGTTTGCTTTTGAATGATGACGTGGGAATCTCTTTTGAATGCGATTAAAGAAATTGCAATATCCTCGCGAGCTTTTAATAAAAGCTTTCACGCGAAATGACTCGTAAATACGATTAAAGAAACGTGAAGATAAACTAACCATTCGATTTGAAACTTTAAAAGCGCGATGCCTCGTGAAACACCATATTAAGGTGTCGAATGCAAACATGAATAAATATATAAAAAAAATATAATCATATAATATTTTTCTAAAAAATAAAAATTCAAGAAAGTTAATTAATAAATGATGCCTCTCTTCTACCATAGAAATCTTCAAAAATCTTTTGGAAATCTTCCGTATCTCGTTATTAATAATTTATATATCGAATATTAAATCTTTACGAAATGAAAAAGAAAAAAAAGCAATTTTCTATTATTTTATCACGCGCAAACAAACAAAAATACAATTTTTAAATATTTACAAAACGAAAAGAAAGAAATCCTTTTCATCTGGGAAGGGAGCAATTTTCGATCGCTTCATGCTCAAAAAAAAAAAAAAAAAAAAGAAAAAGAAAGAAAGAAAGAAATTCAACGCGAATTTTCAACAAATAAAAATAACGAATAACGCAATAACGTGATCGGTATGCGAATACAGGATTGCCAAAACCGTTTATTCAACACGGTGTGACGCGTGGCTAACCATAGGGAAAACACGAGGAAAACACTAAACGAAACATTTCCAGTGCAAAGTTTGGCGGTGCTAAATTCCCAGAGATCGTCCAATGGCACACTTTCTCCCTAGGAACCGGGCCACGGTGTGACCGCGGTAAAAATTTCTGCGAAGCGCATCGCGTAACGACGGCCACTTTGTCACGGTTCCCCTAGGGGGAGGAGGGGTGAACTTGTTGTGCCGTTGAAACGGCGGAATAGTTGCCAAAAGTGGGAAAGGGTAAAGTTCAATCTCACCCGGCAGACCACGAGCGGCAATGAAAGTCCATCAAACAATGCGACATGCAGAATCGCTCTTTGACATTTTGGCTGGCGTATGTATGAATGTGTGTATGCATGTTTGTAGAGTAATATAACGTATTCGCACTATGGATTAAAATCGCTTAAAGTAGTCAGAAGTTGAGTTTGGGATTTTGATGAGGATTAATCTATTTGATGAGGATTATGGGATATATGGAAGTTTTATTGAAATGTCATGGAAATGGTATAACTATGCTTGAGAGATTGAGTGTGCCCTTTTTATTTGGAATTTTTTTTTTTTTTGCATGTATAAATAAAATAATATTTGATTGATTTATGGTTGTTAGAAACATTCGAATGTTTATATATGAAGGTTTTACTAATTAATACATATTATTTATAAAGACTTAACGAAGAAAATTCCTCACAGAAGAACATCATACGATATACAGTTTATCGAAATTACTCGTAGAAAACTGTTCATTGCGTATTTAAAATTTTGTTATTAAAAGAATTAATCTTCGTCAGGGATATTTTTATTAGCTGCATGTATCATCCCTTACTTCGTTCACTTCGTTATGAAACATGCACATAATTCTACATTATATATTAACATTATATATTAACAACATAATACAGTTCCAAGTAATTCTTGTATTATATAATAACGCTACAATTTTTGGCACAGTCTCACTTTTGGCAATTTTTCCTACATGATCACTCTATCCGCATCATTAATTTTTCACATGAAAATTAAAATCATTTTCAAGTACAATCAAGTATAAAACAGCTCTTAACTTCTAAATAACAATACATTAAATCCAAATATATTCAGCTATAATTTACATGGACTTGTATGTTAGCGTATACCAAAATCCATTCTTCAAATCATGTGGAAACTACTATGGTTCAGATTCCGTTTATATCCATCAATTTCACGCGAGTTTAATGCAAATTATCCTAATTCATAATGCGACAAAACAAACATTACACGCCACGTTCCTGCAAATTATAAATTGATCGCATATATTTGAATTATGCATCCCTAACCCTCTCATCATTGACGTTCCATCGATAAATTCTAATAATCTCGTTGATCCTCCACTCGTTTTTTTCTCTCTTTCACCGTATCTGAACTATCACTCTCTTCTCCAATTTCTTTTATCCTCGAACATTTTTCTCATTCGACTTCATCCACGATTCATCCCTCTCGTTTTCCTGGTTTTTGCTCGTCTATCTTGTTGCATCTTTCCTCGAATTATACGTGAGCATCTCTGTTCACGAAACTCAATTTTCACTTCTGCTTTTGATCCTGGATTTTTCTCCTCCGCTCGTATATTCGAACTTAACCGGATCTATCTCGCGTGTAATTCGCGTCCTAACCTTTGTTCGTTTCGTTCTACCGAAAAATAACTATCGTTTTTCTCTCTCTCTCTCTCTGCTCATTTCACGAAATGACATCAGATACGATTAAGAGAATCCAATTTGCATTCGAAAATTCTTTTTCTATTTGAAAAATCAATTTTTATTTTTGGTTCTTTTTCCTTCGTCTTTCGTTTAAAGTAATTGCATTTCTTCTAGGCTCAAATCAAAATTTCTTTTTCGGTATTCTGTTCTGTTTATTTTTTATTTAATTTTTTTCTATTTATATTTTTACAAAGTTGAAAGGATATTGGAGGAAGAAGATTGGATAATTATTATTATTGAAAATGAGTAGAAGTTGGGAAATTTAGCAGTTTCATCTTCAAAGATTCGAGAGATATTTGGCTTCAAGAACGTTGTGATATTAGGGGGATGTCCAGAGATATCATTTATCGTGATGATAGCGACGAGTTCGACGATTGCTACCTTGAAATGGCTTGCAGACTGGTTTACGGCTTCGAAGATAAGATTCTTTATTGTGTAAGAGTAACGTTTGGAAAGAGAAACGATTCTAGAGATCTTTATATCGATACGCAAAAATAAAAATATTCTGGTATTTTTGGAAAAAGTATTATAATAAAATTTATAATTACATATATTGAAGAATTCTATATCTTGAAGATAAAAGTTTATTTTTCTTTCTTCATTGAAATCAAAATATTTCTTTAAGAGATCAACGATAAAAACTTTTCTTATTTCTTTTTTAATTGTTATAATTATAGTACCATAGTACTATTCATTATCAATATTTTCCAAAAATGAATTCCACGTGATATCTTTTATCTTACGCTGCAAATATCTCTTTCAGATTTTATTTCCTATCCAAGAAGAATCTACGTTTCATTCAAAATCTAAATGCCATCATCCCCAATTACAGTATCCCAATTAATCCACGAATCTTGCTCAATCAAACGTACAACCCTAAAATCACCCAGCAAAATGAAACGCTCTCACGATCCACCCTCTCTGCACCCTTATCTGCTTACACGCCTACGGTTCCCCGCTTTTATCTCCACCCTCGCACTCCGCGCGTTTCTTGTCCCCGTTCCTCGCCCCCACTACGTTTAAGAGGCCTCGGTGAATTAATAGTTGGCGTGGTATACGTGACTCCGGAACCGAGTGGCCGCGTCGAGTGCACTTCCGTGATCGTGACGTATCCTCATCGCGGATAGTGCATCGAACGGAGAGGGGTTCTCACCTCCTCGCCGGATCTTCGATCGACCCTGTGGCGAAAATTGCAGCCGAAGAGTGGCCGACTTCCCCCGCGATTCCGTCCAATTCTCTTTCCACGGGCCAATCGTTTTCCACCAAGTAGCCGCCGTCGTCTCGAGTGGAATCGAGACGCCTTCCCTTCTTTGAACTGTCCCCTCGATCGAAACGAACGGGTTTTTCGAGGAATGGATCGCTTTTGCATATCAATTTTCGAACGAGTTGTGCAATTTTTCTCAATCTTTTCGATGTTTTGTTCTGTCGAGATTTTTGCATTTCGAGTTATTATTACGAGCTCGATAATTTCCAGTTTTAATTCTCGTCTTGATGTATTTCATGAGATAAATTGGTGGGAATTTGGGTTCTTGGAATTATCGTGATATAATCGAAATATCGTGAGAAAATATTTGGAATGGATAGTTGGAGCAAGATGATAATATTCCAGTGATCAGATTTCCGATTGTTATGATTATCTATTGTGTAAATAATTATTATGAAATCAGATTATATGATATACTTTTTAATTAAATTCGTTTAGAAAGAGATAAAATATAGAGAAGAGATGCATTGAATTATATCTCCTTCGAAGCAATCTGAATTCTATTCGAAAAAATTTGTTTGGAATAAAAAATTTGAGAGATAATTACATCTAAAGTGTAAAGGATATAGATAAAATCTAAGACTACACAATTACGAAAAATTAAGAAGCATAAAATTATAAAAAGATCCACGAATAAATAAAATTTCAAGCCAAATAAACCAAGAAAATTTCACGGTTCGTCATTCGATCGATGAAATCGATGTCTCGAATTCGAGATTAAGGATAAGGTTACATTTGAACGAAGGAATGTACAAGCATATCCCAATCTGTGCACACTAATAAACGGAAGCATTCAGTGGTTTCATCGATACGAATAGGATTCTGATACGAATGGCTTATACGATAGGCCAATGAATCAGCCATGCTAAATTTCACTATAAATCATGTAAATCCATCTTACTCGGTCTATTATGACGATTTTAATTGCGTTTCATGTAGATGCGATATTATTAATTGGACTTTCACCCTTTCTATCAAGTCAGCCAGCATTTACCGTGAAATTACTCTGCGACCGAGTGAAATCGTAATTTCCCTTTTTTTTGTTTTTTTTGTTCTTTAACTTGACAAGATAAGTTATCTTCACTTCACTACGCTCTAAATGAAAAATAAATTAAGTTGAGAAACAAATTATTCTCTCGTGAAGCTCATCGCTTGAAATCGTGAAAAAAAATGTTTTAAACGATTCTTTTTGCATAGTTCCCTTCCATTTGAATTTGTGGAAATGGAATATTTT